CATTTTCTATCGGCTGGTAAAACATTTCTCAGATAATTAAAAGCCTGTACTCTCTTGTTTTTGATAACTCCTACTTGAGCTGTTCCTCTTGTCAAATGGCCTACTTGGCGGTACTGTAGAAGTAATATTATTGTTTTTTTCTTCTCCGTCCTGGGTATGACGATAAACTGCATACGGCAGTGAGGCCGCTGATCGGAATATTAGAGGTTTTGAGGAGCATGATGCTACTTCATAATTGCTGTTGTTCCCAGGTTTATACTGACCTGGGTGGTAGCACCTGTTAGGGACCGAGATAAAGGCAAATAGTAAAAACCCAAACAAAAACAAAAGACTATTAAAGAATAAAATAAATTTTATAGTAAGAATACCAACAATACATATTTATGGTGAAGTTATCAACATTACATATTTATAGATAAAGTTACCAACAATAACTAATAATATTAAAATTACCAACAATACATTTTATAGTAGAATGATCAACAATACATTTTTATAACAAAATGACTAACAATACATTTATCTGTAGCCGAAGGCATACAATTGCATTCGGAATATATTTAGTTGAGATCATAAAATTTTGTTCAAAATATATAGATTTCAGAATTAAATGACTCATTGTGGTGTTGATATGCCGCTAAAATCATTTAACTATGTTTTATATTCTAAGTAAAAGGTTCATCTTTATATCCATTTTGCTTCCTCGTTGCTTACATGTTCCGTCTATGACATTCTCAGCATCTTTCTGTAGATCTACACCATTGTTGCCGCAATTAAAACAACATTCAAAATACTTCGAAGAATCTCAATAGTTGTAATGTATAAAATGGCTTCAAGGATGAAAACTCAAGATTCTTCATTGCATCTTCTAAATCACTGCCGACGGGAAGAAGCGAATTTTATTCCATATGCTATCTGGATTTAATTTTACTGGTTTTCTTCCTACATGTTTAGAAGTTTTACTTTACATTTCAGATACACTTTCATTCATCCTTTCTTCTTTCCTTCCACACTTTTTTCTCTCTTTCTATTTGTTCTTTTTTCTTCTTCCCTATTTCCTTCATTTCTTACTTTATATTTTATCTCCTTCCATTTTTTCTTTTTCCTTTCTTTCTTTCTTTTCTTTCTTTTTTTCTTTTTATATGCTCTTTTTTCTTGCTTCTTTATTTCCTTCATTTCTCCTTCTTCTCTTCTTTCTTTTTCTTTAATTTCTTTTTTATTTTTATTTGTTCTTTTTTCTTGCTTTCTTATTTACTTTATTTCATGTTTCTGTTTTTCTTTCTTTTTCTTTCCTTGTTCCTTTCATTCCTCCTTTCTTTCTTGTTGCCTTTCCTTCTTCCTTCATTATTTTTGTTCGTTTGTTAGTTTCTTTCTTCCTTCCTGGCTGCTTTTCTTTCTATCATTTTTTTCTATTTGTTCATTTTTCTTGCTTCCTTATTTCCTTCATTTCTTGTTTTTATTTTCTTTCTTTTCTTTCTGTTTTCCATTATTTCTTCTTTTTTTCGTTTTTCTTCATTCATTCTTTCTTTCTTTCTTTCTTTCTTTCTTTCTTTCTTTCTTTCTCCATTCAGTAATTCTTTCTGTTTTTCCTTCCTTCCTTCCTTCCTTCCTGCGATCCTTCATTCCTCCCCCTCCCTTCCTTCCTTCCTTCCTTCCTTCCTTCCTTCCTTCCTTCCTTCCTTCCTTTCCCCCTCTCTCTCTCCATTCCTTCCTTTTCTTCCTTTTCCCCCTTCCCCTCCCTTCCTCCGTCTATTCCTTCCTTCCTTTCCCCTCCCTCTCTCCATTCCTTCCTTCCTTCCTTCCTTCCTTCCTTCCTTTCTTCCTTCCTTCCTTCCTTCTCCCTCTCTCCATTCCTTCCTTCATTCATTTCCTCTTTCCTCCCCTCCCTTCATTCTTCCTTCCTTCCCCTTTCCTCCCTTTCCCTTCCTTCCTTCCTTCCCCCCTTCCTCCCCTCCTCCCTCCCTTCTTTCCTTCCCCCCCCCCTCCCTCCCTCCCTTCCTTGCTTCCTCCCTTCCTTTCCCCTTTTCTCCCTTTCACTTCCTCCTTTTTCCTTCCTTCCTTCCTTCCTTCCTTCCCCTTTTCTCCCTTTCCCTTCCTTCCTTCCTTCCTCCCTTCCTTCCTTCCTTCCTTCCTTCCTTTAAAGACCATTATATTCTTCGTTCTTTTGTTTCCGAAGCGTTTGGAGGCTTACCCGTGATGACAAAAATGACTGCATTATTACAGCATTTGTTATTTTATGAGTACAAAGCAATTACAAAATCGCTATCCACTTATCAGCGACTTAAAAATAATATGTGCGCTAAAAATAATTTAAGACATAAATAATTTATTGTGTTTTACTTGTCAAGTACAAAATAAGCGAATTCTTTTTAAAGATCCCCGATGATCGATAATACGAACTTCTTATCCACTGACGGCAGAAACTTTAAATTCTCGAAGCTCTTATGATAAGTTTTTTTTGTTTTTTTAAATAAACACAATTCAATATCCTTTGGGGAATATTTCTTACACTATTGTACACCATTACAAGGCCCAAGAACCACACAAGATAGAGGCTAACTAAACTAAGTTGGTGTTGTAAGGGCATATAAGGAGGAAGCAAAGCGTGCACATTATGAGGATATGTAGGATAGATAAAGGTTAACCCTAGACCTCAAAACATTACGATTGTAGTGAACGTCGAAGCAGCTTTTCGGGAGTCTATCTCAAACGGATGGTTCCACGATCAACATAATCGTGATCTTTCAAGGTATAGGGTTGATCTTTATCTATCCTACATATCCTCATAATATCCTATCATATAGGAAAGAGAGCAGTGGATTTCCTCAAAGTAACAGAAGAAAGAAGATGTCTGATTTGGACTTCCTCCTTACCAATGGAATATGAAGTGGATGAGAATGAAGTAACTCATTCTTCGTAAAATTGTGGATCATAGTTGCGAATATCTTTAAACACTTGGATTGAAAATAGCCATAGAGTAGTGAGAGGGTAGCAATGTTTCGTCTGTGGGAAAGGATTTGCAGGGGGGGAAACAATTCATCACCCATAAGGCCGCGCAACTTTTGAACTTGGTCGAAGCTGGAAAGTAAGAATTGGGCAGATGCTATTTTAAGATGTTCAGTAATTAATTTAAAAGAAAAATTAAACGAGAGATATTTCAAAATCCCTGTTACAGGGCTACAGATATTGATACGGTAACCAACAGATTCCCTTCATTATTCCAATAACATCTTCTGATGTAAAAAAAAAAAAAACCGATGTCAGTTTGAATTTATCATTTCATCTTCCACTGATAAATAACAGCTATTTTTTCGCAACAAATTACGCAGTACTTATTTCGATTAGCACGTTACTTAGAACGATTACTTCGCTACATAGAACGATTACTCCGCTACATGGAACGATTACTTCTCTGTAAATTTCAAAAACCTCGTGGCAATAATATAAATAACCGATTACCATAAAAGATAACTGTTGATTATTTATGGCTATTTTTAAAATAATGCAATGATTATTGTTTGAGACATGTGGTAATAATTGTAAGTAATATGATGCTCTAAAATATGTAACCAAGTAATCGTTTTAAGTTCTCTAAATATCACTGCTGTTTTTTTTTCTGAGGATAACTAAAGGATACTCGTAAATTCTAGAGAACCGGCGATATAAACAAAGGATAATTTCGTCATAGAACAAACATACTTTCCCTTGTACACTATTTACATTATTCGAACTATTGTCCTCATCTTTGTCACCATATTTATTACAACGTTCCGGCCTTCTTCAGGTGGTTGGAATGTCGAAGTGAACCCTTTATTTCGCTCACAGGTTAGAGTGTTCTAGTTTCACTGGAATCCTCTCTGTCTCCGGGCAGAGAGGATTTCACCAGAACAGCTGGAGACGAATGTCCGAGTACAGACCAACATACAGTATTTACTACTGTATTTATGTGAATGGGAACACAGACATTATCGTCCATAGGTATGCTACAACAGCATATATATGTATATATATGATATAAAACTTGATGCTTTTAAAAACCTATATCTGTAATGGTTGCGTTCATATAATGCGCATATTGATCGTATTTCTTTTCTTTTCTACTGATCTTCGTAGAATTACCCCTTTCTCGTTATCTCTCTACCGCTTTCTTTCTTTCGTCCGTTAAAAGTTCTGAAGGCCAAGGATACAGTCTATCCTATCATCTTTGGTTTTCCTAATCGGTAGTCATGTGCCGGGTTAGAGAGAATGCCATTCAACATGGATGCCTTTTTCTCGCACGGACAAGTCGGTGGTAAATAAACGATAGAGATGAAAGGCAAAAAAAGGAACAAGAAAGGTTGTTTTGAAGTTTGGCACGTCCTGTGTCGGTTCACGATCTTAACGTTTATGTGCAAATTGGGAAAGCCAACTTTTCAGACTGATAAATAGATAGATAGATAGATAGATAGATAGATAGATAGATAGATATGAACAGACGTACATAAATGAATACGCTTGTTAGTTATTTGCTTTATACTAGTGGGTTCATACGAACAGGATGTTCCTAGGTTGTACCCACCTATTAAGACGTATCATACTGAATATTTAACAGCTTTATGGCTGGAATTATATCCAAAAAAGAATCTGCAATATTATCGGTGCTGACCAGTCACTTGCCACTGTCGTAACATGTTCCTCTGTCTTTTTATAAATATTTTTATGGTAATTATTTTAATGAACTTTACACCTTGGTATCTCGATCGAATTAATTTAAGGGAATTTCTAGGTTGGCAATTCGTCCTTTTACTGTTGAACTATAATTTTGTTCTAATAAATTAATTTTCTTCCACCTTTCGTCTGTTGAGATCTCTTCATTCTTCTTGTTTTTCTGTCACCCACGATCTTCAAAAGTTTAAACGATGCACCAATCGCCATCTTATGTTTTTCTAAATTTTGTTATATTTTTGTCCTTCTCACTAAGGTTTTCTCACTTTCTTTCACTCTGAGTAACCCATTCTGAC